AGGAGGGTCACATGTGTTTGGAGACCAAAGTAATACAGCTGGTCTCTGTTTAATTCAGCTGACGTCAGCCCAGAGCCAGTTGCCAGACTAGGCACTTGGGATCCGGACAAATCCTCTCACTCACACTGGCTCCCAGAGCATCACAATTCAGTTCTCCTGGGATGCCTCCAGCAAGGTCTGCCTGGGGGATTTCCACCCATCCCTCAAGGCTGGGTTTAAGGTCACCACCTCCAGAAAGCCTACCCTGATGGCACCTCCATTTGTTTTCCAACATCCACCTGAGCCAGAACAATATTCCTTCCTTGGAACACCCACATCCCTTTCTCTGACCATGGTCTCAGGTTTATTCGTGGCAGGACGCCTCCGCCAAGAGGCCCTGAGATCCTGAGAGTAGACCTGAGTCTGAGTCATAGCCAGCAGAGATGCTTTTCAGCGCCTCCTGCATGCTGTGTGCCGTGCCTGGTGCCGTACGCTCTACCTCTGATGCATTGCTCAAGCACTGTGAGGTGAGCACTGAGACCATCCCCAGTTACTCTTAGGGAAACCAGGCTGCTACTTGACAAGCCAGTCATGGAGCCACCGGGACCTGAGCATAGGCCTGTGTGATGCCACAGCCAGGACCTCATCTGCTTAGCCCAGAGAAAATAAGGAGTGAGTGGGGCCTGGCCAGAGGGTCCCAGGCTCTGCTGTGTCATCCGCCTGGAGCCCACTCTGCTGATGCCAGCTCTGCTCCACCTGCTAGTCCAAGATTCAGCCTCTTTTCAGAAGGGCCCCTGACCGACTTGAGACCTCCCTGCAAGGGCATGGTATGAATTGGGCTTCCTCTGAGCTGGACCCCTTGACGGCTAGATCTGGGGTCTTATCCAGGACCCAAACAGCCTGGCCCATGGTGGCCAAGGTCACTGGCCATGCAGCATCTGCCACCCAGACCTGTACCCGCTGCCCTTCCCCAGATCCACCACTTGCTTTCATCTTTGCATGACTTGTGCATTGAGGACCCCAAGCTCAACTGGTCACAGCCCTGGTCCTCAGATGCACTTTAGGGTGGCCCACAGGCCCTGGACAATCTGCCCCCTGAACTTGCCATCCTCACACTCCCTTTCTCAGGTCCCAGTCATTACTCCCGGCACTTGATCCTCCCACAAGCTGGCTTTCGCTCCGTGGCGACATGACACGTGAAGTTTCCTCTTCCAAACCAACTCCATTCACCCTCCAGGACTCTGCTCAGAAGCCCCTGCCTCAGGGAGGCCATCCCTAATCTCCAGAGATGGTTCCACAGTGACTCAGGCTTTCTCATTGTCCTCATCACATTTGACATGATCATGGCCTCCCCGATCAGCCTGAGAGTGAGTTCCATGCCAACAGGGTACTGTCTCACTACCCTCCAAGCTCAGCACAGAGCCTGGCACACAGTAAACAGGCTGAGTGCAGAATGCGAAGGTCCAAAGAGGAAGGGAGGCATGGAGGGATGGAGGCGTCATTCTTAAATGAAGATCAGGAAAAGCTGACCACCGATAGGACTGGTATCTGTGCTCATTTCCAGATGGGCAGGGCAGAAGGGCATCCCTGGAGAAGGGAGCAGACAGGACAGAGGCAGAGGGAGGCCAGGTTATTGTCCCCACTGGACAGTTGAGGGACCTGTGCACCTGTTGGATACAATGTGCACAGGTGGGGGTGGTGGGTACACTTAAAGCCCAGACTTCTTCATCACTGTACAATACAACCATGTAACCAAAAACTATTTGTACCCCTGGAGAAGGGAGCAGCATAGACAGAGGCAGGGGAAGGCTGGGTTGTTGTCCCCACTGGGCAGTTGAGGTGCCTGAGGCTTCGCTGGGTGGCACAACATGCCAAAGCTCATTCAATTGGCAGCAGCAGTGTGTGAACTGAGTTCCAACGCAGTCGGTCTGATTCCACGGGCTGTCTCCTGCCATGCCCACTGCCCACCCATGCCATCCTTCAGCTAGAGTCCTCCAAATGACTCAGTGGAAAGAGGCTGAGCTCTGTGGTCAGGCAGCGCCCACCCCCAGAAACCTAATATCCCAGGCTAAGCCAGACCACAACCGAAGAAGCAGACCAGAACTCAGGGAGAAGGGAGCTCTGGCCAGTAAGGTGTGATCCAGGCCCAGCAAGGATCCCCTGGATGGGGGTCTCTTCTGTGCTGCGCCAGGCCTGTGCTCCACCATCACAGCCCTTCCCCTCACAGCCCTTGTTCCTTCAGCTGTGAAATGGGGCCAACCCTGCCTGCCTTGAATAGTTCTTATCAAATTAGGAAATGGAAGTAAAATACAAAGTGTCCTGCAAATGTCAATTGCTGACATATTAATCTTTTTCTGTCTGACCCCCAGAGCTCAGCCTCTTTCCACTGAGTCACTTGGGTGTGGACTCCAGCTGGAGGATGGCATGGGTGGGCGGTGGGCATGGCAGGAGACACAGCCTATGGAGTCAGACCAACTGTATTGGAACTCAGGCCCTGCTACTGCCAATTGGGTGAGCTCCAGCAGGTCGTGCCACCCAGCGAAGCCTCAGGCACCTCAACTGCCCAGTGGGAACAACAACCCAGCCTTCCCCTGCCTCTGTCCATGCTGCTCCCTTCTCCAGGGGTACAAATAGTTTTTGGTTACATGGTTGTATTGTACAGTGATGAAGAAGTCTGGGCTTTAAGTGTACCCACCACCCCAACCCGTGCACATTGTATCCAACAGGTGATTTTCATCTTTCACCTCCACCTCCTCTCCTTTCTGAGTCTCCAAATATTTGTATTATAATGACTGTGAGGAATACTGTTGGTTCCTGATTCCCACATCACATTATGCTTTTATTAATAGGGGCATTTGGGCTTTGGGAAGAGGTTAGGTTCCCTCCTGGCGGCAGCAGCCCTTAGGCAGGGGCCACCCTGGGACCCACAGAGTTGGACTCCATCACCCCACCCCTCCTTCTGTCCAAGTGTACTGGCACTCTCTCCTTGCTCAGGCTTTCTGGTCTTTGTCACTCTTTGCTATACCCTCTTTCATTCAGTCAGTCGCCTTGCTGGCTACCCACCATGTTCCAGGTTTTAAGCTGGAGGGAGCCAGCACACCCAGGCCCTGCACTGCCGAGGGAAAGGACACCAGCAGAGTGACCAGGACCATGATGAAGGAAATACGAGTGCCCTACGGGCATGAGGCCCCATCTCACCTCTTTCCTGGCCTGGGGCTGGCTGGACCAGACCCTTGCCAGGGCACCATCTGATCCTGAGTTTCCAGCAGCTGTAACCTGGGACTCGGGCTGGAGTTTCGGGTTGTACCAGTCTGCAGTCTGAATCTTGGGGCCTGTGGCTCCCGCCTTCATCACCTACCCATCCTCTGTCTCCCCCATTAGACTGCAGGCTGCTCCTTAGGGAACTTTCCATGTGTTCTGCCTGAGGGAATTCCATCAGAATAGCCTTGGGAACTCGCCTCCCCTCAACACACATTTACAGCCAGAGTTGAGCATGTGCATGGGAGGAGGCAAAAAGCAGACTCTGATCTCAGCACAGCTGCCCTGGGAGGGCAAAGCCACTATTACGCCCATTTAGCAGATGGGAAACTCAAGGTTCCATGCATGCATGCAGACATTCAGCTCTCCCCAAGTGCTGGGGACGCAGATGAGCCCGTGCAACCAGGACTGCTATCCAGTAGGAGCCCAGGGACACTGAGTGAGTGTCATGGGAGGAGAGGGGAAAGGGTGCTCTAGGAGTGTGGACTGGGGAGAGTGTCAGAACACTGAAGGGGGGTTGGTTGGCAGCCAGATAATGGCAGGTCAGGACAAAGAGGCAGCACAATTTAGTCATCTGCCTAACCACGAGTCGGAGCCACAACGGGAACCCACTGGACTTCATGTCCAGCTTTCTTCTCACAGCATCATGCTGCCACACTGCCTGCCTTGCCTGGCCATGCCCTGTCCCAGGCACTGGACGTGTCCACAATGTGCCATGAGAGTTACAGTGCGGACACCACTGTAGGAGCCCAGAGGAGGGAGTTTGCCTCCGCAGAGTGGGAAGGGCCTAGGAGGGCTTCACAGAGGAGGTGATGTGGACACTGGACTTTGGAGATGGGTAGGAGTTTGCCAGGTAAAGGAGAGCTGTCCATGTAGGAGTAGGGAGTACAAGAGCTCTGAGGAAAGAGTGTGATGAGCATGTTGGGGCCTCGCTGTGGAGAGTGAGTGAAGGGGGTATAAGGGGCGGGCTCTCGACCCCCTGGTTCCGTTGGACTTGGAAGAATCAGGTGGAGGGAGGAAGAACTGGAACTGAGGCGAGTTGGGAGCTGGGCTCTGCCGCTTGGGAAGGGACCAGCTGCCAGTAATTGAGGCGCGTTGTTGGCTCCTCCATTCATTCCGTCTCTCTCGGATGCTGATTAGCAATTGTTCCTGAAGCTTCTTAAGAGGCCCGGGGATTGCAGGGAAGGAGGGGGCGCCTGGAGAAGCTGCCAGGTTTCGATGGAGGGATCCAGGCACAATTTGGGAGGCACAGGAGGCCCCTGGACCGCAGCCCCTTACCTCTAACCCCTTCATGCTCCCTCCCTTTCCAGCCAAACCAGGGAGATAGGGGAGGAAAAAACACCTAAAAATATGGAGAAACAAACTGAAGCACACTACGAGGTAGAGGCTTTTAAACCCATGGCATCAGGGGCTGAATGAGGTAATGGAAAAAAATCCTTGGATCGTCAGACAGACCTAAGTTCGAGTTTTATCTCAGGGCTTATTTGCTTTTTGACCTCAGGTTAGCAGCCTAACCTCTCTGATCCTCGGGTTCTTGGTTAAAGTTGCTATGAAGGTTTAGGGAGGTGATTTTGGCATAGAGGCTAGCAAACAGCAGGTGCTCAATAAATGCTCAATTGAAAAGACTTGGGAGACTCAATGTCTATCTTCATTTTCAAATCTCGGTGAGGCTGTTCTGGACAAAGTCCTGGGAAGAGGTATCTAGGGAGAGGGGCTAGCTCAGCATGATACAGAGGATAAATTAGCCCCCTCTCCCCACCTACATACTCAGGTGCAAAGGCCCCCTCAGGGCTCTGAGTTGCCCCTTCCAGGGCTAATGTCCTGGGCATAAGATGCACCTAAGGGGGAGCAGGAACCAAATAGCAGTCAAGCCTCTCTCGGTCCCTCTGTGGTGTCTTCATGCCATCCTCGTCTCTGTCGCTGTCTCTGTGTGTCTCTCCCTACATCTCTCTGTGTCTCTGGGCATGTTGCTTTCTGTCTCCGTGTGCCATGTTTCTACCCACTCACCTTTTCCAGGGTGTTGCTCTGGGTCTGCATGTCTATTTCTGTCTTTGTTTCTGCCTCAGATTCTGTTTCTCTCTCATTCTTTCTTTTGACATTTTTTGGTCACCTTCTGCTCAACCAAAACCAGAGATGACTGCCTGAGTCTAAGGATTGAAAAACCACCACTTTCTCCATAACGTTCCAACACCCCACCCAGTCCTGGCTGCAATTTCTGGCTCTGATGTTGTGGGGAGGATGCACCCTTCACTTCCTCTGCTGTGGGGCCTGGTTTTGGTAAGAGCAGACGCATGCACAGCCACCATGTGCCAGGTAAAGAGGTGTCCTTGGCTCCCCTCCTCCCATGCTGTGGCATTGGGCCATGAAAGTCTTAACTTGAACTCAGGTCCCCTCTTCCTGCTCTTGCCCTGGGTCGGGACTCATCCTCTCAGCACAATGTGCCCTGATGGCCTGAGGCTAATGTCTCCCACCTCCACAAGGGTGAGCTCCTGACCTGTTCCTTCCTGCTCAAGAAGCTCCCGTGGCTCCCACTTCCTTTAAGATAAGCCCGCACCCACTCAATGGAAACCTCTGCAGCCCCTGCCTCCCAGTTGCCCACCCTCTGCGGCCATAACTGGGGATTCCACCATGCCCCAAACATGCTCTTCCCTCTCCTGACTTCTGTCTTGGCATTTGCTATTCCTTCCAGTTGGCATTTCTGCTTCTCTGCCACTTCTTGTCCCTCAAAGCTGACTATAGTGATCTCGCCTCAGGCAAATGTGGGTCATTCTCAGCTCTGTGCTCCCCAAGCCCTGGCCATCCTTCTGCATGACCCCAGTCACCCTGGCTTTTTCCTGGTCTGTCTCCCATCAGACTGTGAACCCCCTGTTCTGGGGTTGCACGGAAGAGGCACTCAGTGCCTGGGCAAATGAGCCCACTGGACCCAGCGGGGTCTATCTGCAGCCCCTGGGCTTCATGCCAGGCCAGCCTTCCTCTGCCAGCTCCCTGGGGCACCTGGCCCAGGCTCCCAGAGGAATGAAGATGTTCTCTCCCTGGCAGCCTCCCAGCCAGAGCCCCAGGGCTGCTATTTGGTGAGCAGCAATCCCAGCTCCTTTAGAGCCACTCATGTGCCCCACAGGGGCCCCTGAGTTCACGGGCCTGCAGGAAAAGTGCCACTGTGTACAAAGAATCACCCACCAATAGACGGGGTATGAGGTGCAGGGTGGAGGGGGTGGGACTTGCTGACAACGGGATTCACCCAGGCATCCCATGAGCTTCTGCTCTCTGCTGCCCTCTGACCACTTCAGAGAGGCTGGGAGATATGAGGGGAGGTCCCCAAACTGGGCTTTAGCTCAGCTCCCAACCTTGGGCCGTGTGACTTTCTTTTGGAGTCTGTTTCTTTGTTGTCCCAGGAGGGGCTGAGACCCTATGGTTTCTCTGACACTTGCAGCTCTGACATGCTGGGCTGTGAGACCAGAACGCCCCCAAAGTCTGCCCTTTAGTTAACATCACCCTAAACAGCCACCATCTGCCTCACCAAACCCCTGTGTGCAGAAGTAATGTGTGTGGGTGAGGCACTTATATTGAGGATACATGGCTTTACTCCACTCTCGACCTTCCAGAGGCCAGTGCTCAGACCCAGGTGGTGCTGGCCTTGCCTAGGACTCGTTCCAAGGGAGATGCCGAGGGCAGTGGGGCGAACATGCTCTCAGAGGCCCCAGCTTGGGCTCAAACCCTGATCCTGTCACTTTTCAGCTGAGTGACCATAGGCCAGGGCTTCTCAGCCTCAACAACATGACACTCTGGGTGGGATGATTCTGTGTTGTGTAGGGTGTCCTGGGTACTGTAGGGTGGTGTCTAGCAGCTCCCATGTGGCACCCATTGAGATGTGACAACCGCAGATGTCTCTAGTCACTGATAAATGGCTCCCAGGAGTAAAACCACCCCTGGTTGAGAACCAATGCCTTAGACAAGTCACTCAGTTTTCTTTGGCCTCAGTTTCCCCATCAGTAAAATGGGAATTCATGGTGACAAGGATAAAAGCTAACTTATAGTAAGTGTTCACTGAATGTAAGAAATTGTTCTAAGTGCTGTATGTGTTTTATGATTCAATCCACTATATCATTACTGCAGCTCTTTAGAGGCTTTAGGCGAGTATGAGTCTCCCCATCTTCCAGGGCAGGGGATATAGCATGACTCCCCAGGGTCACACAGCTGAGAAGTGGCAGATTCAAGCAAGTCTGCCTGGCTCAAACCCAGGCCATGATTTTGATGCCTAGCCCAAGCCCATGACCTCTATGCCTGACACGCAGGATGAGAGTGGAACTGAATGAGGTAGTACATGCAGGTGCTTTGCACCAGAATCGTACCTTCACATGCAGGGTGAGTACTGGGCCAGGGGCTGCGTGCTGGAGCGTGGCCCTCATAGGTCTCTGTGCCCCATGGCAGGCTCTCCCTGCCTTTGCAGGAAGTGTCAGGGGAAGAAGATGAGCGTGGGTGTCAGTGGCTGGCATGGCAGCGATGCCAAGGAAACCAGAGGTGGCTGCCCCGCCCTTTGATTACATGGAACTTTCCAGGCTGGGACCACAGCTGCACAGTGTTGAAAACCAATTGTGATTAGCTGCCAGCACTTAGTAACATTGCCACTTGTGAGATCTTACAGGAAAATCTGCACTACTGCTTTCCTTTAAAAATGTGGAAGAGGGAGTGCACCTATATGGGTGGATTAGAGCAAGACTCTGAGGTCAGACTACCTGGATTCCAACCCCAGCTCTGCCACTAGCCAGCAGTGTATCCTTGGCCCAGTTATTCAACCCCCTGTGCTCTGGTTCCTTCATCTGCATAATGGGGATAATAATAGTACCTGCCTCAGGATTGTCATGAAGATTAGACAAGAAAGTGTCTACAAATCACTGGTTTAGAACAGCGCTAGGCACAAAAGAAGCATCAACGTGCTTGTTGTTGTGACTTGTATCCTGTTCACAGTATTCAGTATTAGGCGATGCTGACCCACGTTCTGTCCCAGGTAGAGCTGAGTCATGGCTGTCCTATAGATGAGGTGTCAACTCTTGTGTAGACCCCTCAGATCCAGGCAGAGGTCCTTAACAGGACAACATCATATGGGGGCCTGGCTCCTTGCCGTGTGACTTTGCACAGTCACACCCTCTGTCTGGGCTGGTTTCCTCACTGGAAATGGAAGCACAGAACCTTGAAAACATTATGTTACGTGAGGGAAGGCAGGCACAGAAGGCCACAATGATGGAATTCCATTTACACAAAATGCCAGAAGAGGCAAATCCATAGAGACAGAGAGCAAGTTAGTGCTTGCCAGGGGCTGGGGGCATGGGAGGGGTGACTGCTAATAGGCATAGGGTTTCTTTCGGGTTGACAAAAATGTTCTGGAGCTGGACAGGAGGGATGGTCACACAACCTTGTGAATAGTCAAGTGTCGCTTAACCGCAGGGGTGTGCTCTGAGAAACAGGTCATTAGTCGATTTCATCATTGTGTGAACACCATAGCATGTACTTACACCAACCTAGATGGTCTCCTACATACCCTTGCTCTGTGGTCCCCAGACTGCATACCTGTACCGCATGTCACTGTACTCAACATGTAGGCGATTGTAACGCAACGGCAAGTATGTGTATATCTAAACATAGAAAAGTTTTAGTGAAAAGGTGGTGTTACAATTTACGGACTACCCTCGTGTATGCAGCCCATCATTAACCAAAACGTCTTTATGTGGCACATGGCTGTATACTAAAAACCAATGCATTGTGCATTTGAAAATGGCAAGTGATATGGTAGGTGAGCTATTTCTCAATTTTCAAAATTTCAAAGTGCAAGTGTCAGTGCCCGCCTGGCATGGACATGATGAGAATCAAATGAGGAATGGGGCCAGGTGTGGTGGCTCACACCTGTAATCCCAGGACTTTGGGAGGTGGAGGCAAGAGGATTACCTGAGCCCAGGAGTTCAAGACCAGCCCGGGCAACTTGGTGATACCTTATCTCTACAATAAATCAGAAAATTAGCCGAGTGTGATGGCATGTGCCTGTAGTCCAGCTGCTTGGAAGGCTGAGGCAGAAGGATTGCCAGAGCCCAGTGGACCGAGGCTGTGGTGTCCATGAGTGTACTCCAGCCTGGGCAACAGAGTGAGACTCTGACTTTAAAAGAACGACAGCGGGCTCGGTGGCTCAGCCTGTAATCCCGCGCCTTTGGGAGGCTGAGGTGAGTGGATTGCCTGAGCCCGCAGGTTCGAGACCCGCCTGGGCAGCGAGACCTCATCTCTACAGTAAATCAAAAAATCAGCCGGGCATGGTAGCGCATGCCCGTAATTCCAGCTACTCGGAAGGCTGAGGCGGAAGGATCGCCGGAGCCCAGCAGGTCGAGGCTGCGGTGGCCGGGAGCGGCCACTGCACTCCACTCTGGGCGACCGAGTGAGACTCCAACTCAAAAAAAATTAAAAATAAAAGAACAAACAACAAGGAACAGGCTGAAGTGCTAGGCCTATAGTGGGTGTAGAGAGGGCACGTCCTGTGGCACCCAGCACGGCCAGCTTGGGCCTCTTTGAATCAGGGCAGCTTCCTGGCCTTTTGCCTGGGCTCCTTTCTTCCTGTTTCTCTCTGTGGCCAGGATCTGGCTAGAGCTCTTGTGCCTTCAAAGGCCAAGGCCATAACCAGCCCTGGCCCTGATCAAGCACTCTCTCTACAGGGCAAGGCTGGGCAGCTTCCCTGTGGGTAACCACCGGCCCCAGGTCCCAAGGAGAGTTCAGCCCCATGGCGAGCACCCCTGATTGCTCCAGCACCCCCTGCTCCTGGCCTGGGTCAGGTCATTTCCTGCATGGGAGGCTAGTCTCACAGTCCCTACCCTGGGGTGCCCTTCTTTTATGCCCTGCAGAGGCCAGAGCTGTCGGGTGAGGGCTTGGCCCCAGTGGTACACAATCCTGCCCACAGGTAGAGAGGCTCCTCAGCTCAGCCTCAGCCCCTGGGCATATGCCTGCTAAGCCCAGTGGCCCAGCTCCCCCTAGGCCTGGTGGCTGCCTTGAGCAAATCAGGC